GTAAACACAGAGTCAAAAGCTAATGGGAATTATCAACAAATTCACATCACAGTGTATTTTTTTCTAAGAAGGTAGAACATGACTGGAATAAAGTGAGAAATACTGTTTTAAACTCGGCTTCTAGACTGACTTGCTGACTGGACAAATCATATGACCACTTCCTTTATTCTGAATTTCACATTATCCTTCAAGCGCATTCTCCTGAAGTAATAAATACTTAAAAAAGCAGACTCACTTCTAGTCCTCCACACAGAAAGATATTAACAAACACGGGCTGGTGCCTAAGATTCAGGGCCCCTTCTCCCGCTGCTTGAAGAAGCAGAGGCTCCTTGACATAATGAGGCAGGAAGACGGGCAGGTTGGATGCAATAAGGCTCAGAGTGACTGACCTGGAAACATTTTACCAGAAGTACTTGGGGATAAAGCAGCCTTATCTCAACTGCTACTTGGATAAACTAGAAAGTAAAGCACTAAAAAACAATTAAAGAATTTCCAGGTGTTCCTGGAAGTGTGACAAATGCCAACTTCAAAGCTTTCAGCAACCAGCTGACAAAAAACGCTTGGACATGAAGAGACGGCAAAGGCAAGGTGATGAGCAGCAGAGGTGCCTCTGAGACTTCAGCTAAATCCAGGGACTCTGAACCTCTCCGTCCCTAAGAAGCAGTCAGAACCGGACACGGAGCAACAGACGGGTTCCACATCGGAAAAGGAGTACATCAAGGCTGCATGTTGTCACCCTGCTTATTCAACTTATACGCAGAGTGCATCATATGAAACGCCGGGCTGGATGAAGCACAAGCTGGAATCAAGACTGCTGGGAGAAATATCAATAACCTCAGAAATGTAGGTGACACCACCCTTATGGCAGAAAGTGAAGAAGAACTAAAGAGCCTCTTGATGAAAGTGAAAGAGGAGAGTGAAGAAGNCACAATGAGTTGGACATGACTGAGCATCTGAACTGAACTGAGGCTACTTTGAATTCATGAAATGCATAGGGAATTTGACATGAGTTCTGCACTTCTAAGTGGCTTGTGTGTGTACCTTCAGGGCAGCTACCCTGGGAAATTATGGACAGTCAAGGCCGAGCTTTGGGAGCACAGGGTAAGTCATGGGAGTGGGTGTGGCTGGGGGCCTCTGGAGCTCAGGTGAGCCCTCAAAACGCTGCTGATGCATACCTCTTCGAGGGCAATGCCAAGAACCTGGAATTGACAGAATTTCTGAAAAGCATCTCTCTGGGATGGACCAAAGAAATATAAGAGATGCCTCCAAGTTGTGAAACCCTAGGTGCAATCTGGTTTTGGCTATTTAGCAATTTCTTGTTAGATTACCTTGTATCAGAGAGTGCATGACAAAGTAATAGCATTTTTTAAAGCACTGTGTGTGTGTGTTAGTTGCTCAGTCAGGTCCAGCTCTTTGTAACTCTATTAGCCTGCCGGGCTTCTCTGTCCATTTTTAAAATCTACTTTAAAAGTATAACCTAGGTAAAAAAAAATCCAAAAGTACTATTTTTTAATTTGGATAATTAAATACTCTAGGTCCTCTATGTATCTTCAAAAATCATACAACAAACTATTTGCATTTTTATTAGTGATTGAGAAATGACAACACAATTAATACCAATTATTTGATGATTTACTATGATAAAATTAAGGAAGTGGACACACAGATTCAATTACTTATTTTCAACTACTTGTTTTCTTACGAAATGGGAATAATTATATAGTTGGTAGGATCTTGCAAGTAATATGTCTTGTTAAACTTTTCACTATATGTTGAAGAAGGTCAGGGATTTTTAATGAGTCAACCAAAGACCCACAGTGGGTTGGTGACACGTCTGCACTTGGTGTTTCTACAACCTGGACGCCAGAGCCTGAACGGCCTGGGTGAAACCCGTGGCCCTCCTACTCCTGAGCTATGTAACTTGGGCAAACTAGTAAATCTCTGAAGCCCTGAGTCTTCATCTCTAAAGCTGGATAATATTCCCTACCCTACAGTATGGTTGTGAGGTGCTGGACGCCTTAAATGCCCTCAGAGAACGGTAATTACTGTCCCCCCCACCCCGCCAGTGTTATGTTCTCCTTCTGATTCATGGTTTGGCACATTTCACTACAACATAATCAAGTCCATGAAAACAAGAAACTCTCCTATAAATCCCACCATTTCCAAGATCAGTCCAGTGTTGTGTCCTGGAGATCTTAAATTTATAGACCTAGTTCTCGCAAACTTTGTGAGAAAATCAGCAACGAAACTCGGAGGCATGCTAGCTATTTCCTGGTCCCAACAGCACCCTCATGAAGTCCCCGACTGCCCCATTCTACGCTGCAAGACTCTAGACGGTGTTCTGGTTCCCAGTTACAATTCCTTTGGAGTCTGGGGTAGGTAAACTACTGTGAATTTCTGTTTTTCCCAAGTTTGGGAAACTCCTTCCTTCATTAGTTCTTTCACTTAATAGCAATTTTTTAAAATCTCTGCTACATGTCAGGAATAACACTAAATGCTTATGAATTTGATTAGGCCTTCACAGCTCCCTCCTCTTTTTATGTTTCCCCCAGTAATGGTTTGGGGGTCACACTGGTTGGCCACAGAGAACTATGATGCTTTACCTAATTGACTAGAAACCCTGCCACTACTTAAGACATTCCTGATACTGCCTAGGTTACAAACCTGCTCACAGTATTATCTCCTCTGATATCACCACTATGTGGGTTGGATCCAAGTTTAAACTATGTCTTGTACACCACCACCTATTCTAATGGACATCTTCTTTTGAGTGGCAACCTTTTTCCATATTTCCTAACCTTCCAGCCCTGTTGTAATTCCTGTTTGTAGGCTCAGCACTAAAATTCCAGTAAGCAGCTGGTTATGACCATCTCATTTATTTCTGAATCTCTATATCATTATCATCATCAAAACAGGGCTTGCTACAAGAACGATCAGAGAGTCTCAGGTGGGGTTTTGAAGGCATATTTCCCGGACTAAAGCCTTCTCCACAGTCATTAAAAGCCCCAATGCTTCAAAATTGAATAATTAGAATGACTTCTATACTCATTACAAAAACGTCACTCTGAATGGAGCCTATTTTTAGACTATGATCTCAGGATGCCTTTAGCAGAAGGGTAATTCCACATTCAAATCTAGTCATATCAAGGAAAATTAAATAAAATCTGAATGGGCTCACAACTAATAAAAATAAATGCTTTGTCTAAGCAGAGAATTTTCCAACAAAAACACCACAAAATGAGGTAATTTTTCTGGTTTCAGAAACCTGCGATTTTGTGATCTCATAAACAACACATATTTTGTTAATAGTATTTCAAAGACACGAGCAGAAATTCTGTTTAGAGTTTGTCACAGGATTACGCAGGTGATGTCCCTGGAATGGCCTTGAGAGTAAAACTCAAGGGCTGCCCCACAGTGAGGAGCTCTCCGCCGTGACCTGCCCTGGTCGTCTGGGAACCACACTTGCTGATGTCAGAGGTGCTCCGGGCCCTGAGAGGGAGGAGCCTGCCAGTAAGCACGCTTTAAATGTTTAAGTAGAACAAAGTACCGCACACCAAGGAAAGATCTTATATCAATTAAAGCAGCAGCCACCCCACGGATTTATCACATCTTTGAAACCATGTGAGAGTCAAGTGTAGGAGAACTCTTGTCCTACATTTTATGCTAGAGAGAAAGAGAAGACTTTTTTTTTAACCAAATGGAAATCTTCATGCTATCCACACAGACATGTGAAATTAACAGATGTCACAGAAACAAATTTAAGATATCATATTGTTAACTGAGTTCCCAATAATGGAAAAAAATATAGCAAGTGAAAACAGAATTATAACATTCTCTCACCTCAACTGTATAGTATTGATAATTGGTATCACTGCCGATTGGATTTGGAGATCCCTCCCACCTCGAAATGCAATCCCCCCCTCTTTTTTGGAATGATTGGTTCATTAAGTTCTAAGAGAGAATAATAATTACATTGAGTTCAGGTGTTAAATGTATTAGGAAAAAAAATTAGTTAGCACACATGCTACAGTTGCCATATCAGAAAAACGTGGGTCTTCATGTTTCTAGGACCCCATAATATTGCATATAAGTCAGTGACAGGAATATTCCAATTATTGCAAATTTCAACATGCATTTAAATACAAAATTACTATATCAAAATTAATATAAAAACATCTTTTGCAACTTAATTATGATATTAATCTCTTACATTTTTGTGGGTAAGTGTGAGTAAAGGTTATTAAAGTCATATGTCACATACACCCTCCCCCAAATTCAAACAAACAAATAAATAAATATGCTCAGAATCATAGGTTATCTACCTACACTGTTCAGTAAACATTAAATCTGTGTGACCACCTAGAGTCTATAAAATTTAGCTTTTTTCCCTAAAAAGTCCATGGAGTTTCTGCCTTTCCTGATTAGTTCTCTGATGAGACTTCCAGATCTATGATATGGATTCACCACTGTCAGAATTTTCCTAGCATCTGTAAGTACCAAAAAGTTTCAATTCATAATAAGTTTAAAAGAATAATGAAGACTCCTTTTCAAGAAAGAGAACTATATAGATTCTCTTTAATGAGAGAGGGAAAGGAAACACTCAAAATTAAAGATGATTTACACCAATTTTCAAAATGACTATTAGTGTTAAAAAGATAGCCTGAAAATGCATCTAGACTATACTAATGAGTTTAATGGTCATTTTTAAAAAGACCGTGGTACATCTGCAAGTCACAGGACTTGATTTGAAGAGAACTTGAGGGGACAAACATCCTATCATGTCAATTTTCACATGATCTAGCCAGATGATGAGTAACTTCACCATGTAAAAATTGTTCCCAGGGAAACTGTTTCCAGGGTTTGACTGATAGTCTTGCTGGAAAATGCTAAGCAACTGATATTGTTCCCTGTGTTCACTTGATCTAGTGCAATCACCAATTTAACACTGGAACTGAGCATTAAGCAAGACAAACTTGAGTGAGAACTAGGAACATGCTTACCACGGGTTGTAATGGGGCACCAGGCATCATGGCATTGGCTAGTTGCATTTGCTGGGCCAACATGGCCATGTTCTTCTGCTGAATCAAGTTATTGCGCCCATTTATCTCCAACTGTGTTTTTAAGTGTGGGGGTGGATGAAGATATTTGCAGTTCTCCCTGGAGCAACGACCCTAAGTAACGAAAGCAGAAAACATCATCTTAAAAAGATAAAATCCACAAACCTTAAAAAAAAAAAAAAATTCATAATAATACAAACCTATCACTTGAATCTACCATGAGTCTTTCACACAATGTATTACCCAATGACTTTATAACACATTTGAATAAGTAATGAATTCACTCAAATGTATTATCAGCATGAGGTATTAAAGACATTTCAAAAAAGTTTCAAGCTTAGAGAAGCTCCTGATTTATTTTTTTTTCTTTTTTTTTTTCCATTTATTTTTATTAGTTGGAGGCTAATTACTTTACAACATTGCAGTGGCTTTTGTCATACATTGAAATGAATTAGCCATGGATTTACATGTATTCCCCATCCCGGTACCCCCTCCCACCTCCCTCTCCACCCGGAAGCTCCTGATTTAAAATATTAGCACTAATATTTCTAGATTCAAGTTTAAAAATCTACAAACTGCTAGGGTAATGTTAACACAGAATATCAAATAAAAATTTTAGGCTCTTTCCTTGATGTCTCCTGGCTAACTTTAATAAACCCGAAAGAATCATGAAGTTTTACCATCTATTTTAACTTGTACTGAGTTGTAAGGAAATGAACTTACAGGATTCAAGGCACACCGTATCTTCAGTAAAACACCTTTACATATATCTCATAAGAAGTCAAAATTACTACTAAGCTTTATGAGCCTATATATTAAGAAATGTACAGATGAAAGGGAGGAAATTCCTACACATTTCCTGCTGAATACAGAGATAAATAAGTATTATGAAATATTGGAGAAAAATGGAGCCTTTAATGTTTCAGCAATAAATCTAGTCTCTATTACCTAAGAATTATAAAACAATAGAAACAGATATGTTTACCCTTCAAAAACTTATAGCATAACATGGAGAAACAAAATAAGTTACTATAAAATAATAAATATGAATATACATTTCTTTTGGGATGATTTTTCTCATCAAAATATATATAAAAGTCTGTATTATGAAATACTGTCAGAGACAGACCCATTTATATCAATACAGTATTGATAGCAACTTATCTCATTAGTTACTACCTCATAATTTCTTTCACCAATAAATTTAGTTAGAACTGTTTGTGAGGGTAAAAAAAGACTTAAGTGAAGCCATCAACCACCTTCTTGAGCTTTCTTTGATTTTTCTAAGAAAAACCTATCTGTTTACCATAATTTGATCTTGTACTGTAAACTGCCTCAGAAAACTGATGTTGTAAGAAAAATCTGTCAGAATTCTAATTTCAATGACCTATTTCTGGCTTATTTTGATTAAGGTTTTTGGGAATAAGTTTATCCACAGGCGAATACCATAGGATACTGCCTGCTCTGTTAACAAGCATTATGTAATAAAGAATTACTAACAATATTTCAAGTTAGGAGGCTGCAGAGAAAAGCGGGCAACAGCAAAGACATTGCGGGTCTCGGGACGTGGGGCAGAGGCCGGGCGCTCTCACTCATCAGCTACATGGACTGCGTAAAAAACCCGCTTATTTAAGCCTCAGGCTTTTCACTCATTTCAAAATTGCCATATAACCCACGTGGCATGTATGCTAAGTTGCTTCGTAGTGTCTAACTTCTGCGACCCTGTGGACTGTAACCCACCAGGCTCCTCTGTCCCTGGGGTTCTCCAGGCAAGAATACTGGAGAGGGTTGCCATGCCCTCCTCCAGGCGATCTTCCCGACCCAGGGATCGAATCCATGTCCCTCATGTCTTCTGCATTGGCCCTATATAGCCTACACTATATAGGGAAATCCTATGTAACCTACACTGTAAGTTTATTTTGAAGATTAAAAAAGATAATGTATATGTCACATCCTCGGCCCTGCCCAGCGCTCTTCGAGGAAAAGGGGAAAGTCAAAAGCTGCTATTATTACCACCCCCAGCACATTTTAAACTGTATAGCAGAAAAACAAAATATTGGCATGAAGGTAACTTTTATACCATTAATCACAGCTATCGATACATTCACAAGTAAAGTACCATGTACATATCTCTGATTTATTCCATAGGAAATCACCATGCCTGATACCTATTGAGATCATGAGCATGTTATTAGCTTAAAAGCATCTGGATGCAAAACAACTTTCGCAAAAACAACGCTTCAAGTCACAAGACAAACCATGGTGAATGACTGGCCAACCATGGGTGACACATGGTCTGATATCAGAAATATCCAAGTTTGGGTATTTTAGAGAAAATCTACTTTTTCAGTACAAAGAATAACTTGGTTCTAAGAAAAATTCTGATTATCAGTATCTCCACATTATATTTCTTACTAAGATTGGACTTATTTAAGTGCAGATAAGCTAGGTTATATCCACTCTGAGGACTCAGTTAATGTCAGTTCACTGGGATCACCCCCTATAGTTCCGTAAATTCCATAAATAACCCAGAGACAGCCCTGGGCGCTGAAAGCAGTCTTGTGAACGTGGACACTGGTCTTCCCCTCTCTTCACCCTAAGGCCTCCCTGGAACACACACCTCCAGGGCCCTACAACCTACAAACACAGCCTACGCTGAAACAAGGAAGGAAAGAAACCACGTGCAAATCACCATATGCTCTGTATCACTGCATCTCAAAACTTTTAATAAAAACTCAGGCCCTTTGGTTTTCCTTGTCTTTACTACATGTACTCGGGAAAAATGTCATTCCACGACGTTTCTTACACTGGCTCCCTTTCCAAGCTCAGCTTGATTTGAGTGCATTGGAGCCTTCCTTTCAAAAAGCTATGTATGTCCCAAAGAATCAACTGAGGACATCTTGTAGAAAAGGTATGCAGACTCCCTAGTTTCTTTCACACAGAGTTTGTGGCAACAGACCTGGGGGTCCAGGGATCTACATTTTAACAGTATTCCAGGTTATTCTGATATAGCCTGAAACTATAAGCTACAATTCTGCAAAGCTACGTGAATATTTCATTGACATTTGTGGAAAAAATAACAGAGTAGCCTCCGCAATGGATATTAGATAAACTTAGCTCCTTAGGAAGGTCAAAACTTGTTTAATGCTGACTCTGCTGCTGAATAATTGTGGTTTGACAAATAAAAAGGTCAAAAGTAAGTTAGAATAAACATCCTCTTCTAGAGAATTGCCTAAGTCCTGAGGAAAACCATGAGTGGCAACCATTCTATGGAGAGCTAAGGTAAATATGACACTGGTACTTCGCCAGGTTCATCCATCTCCAAGTTCCCAGCCCTGTACCTCAATAAGCATTTGCAGAATGAATGAAGAACATTTCTAACTAAATGCTTAAAAATGAATTCTACTGTAACTCCATTCTGGAGACGATGAGGATAATAGAATAAAAACTAGATCTAATACCAAATTTTGACTCTGAGCTGTACTAACCTAATGATGTTTTTATTCAGAGTCCAGCAATTTGAACACACAATAAATAAAGCTTGCCGCAATAAAAGAAGAAAAGGTCACAGGAGGCCACCAAGTTTCACTAAGGAGGAAAGAAGATCTGTGTAGAGATTTGATGCTCTTGGCATCCTAAACTCTATAGTGTTGAGAATATATTCTAAACCATCTAAAAAGAGAAAATCAATCTGTATCTTCTGCTCACATACACTGAAGAAGGCAATGGCACCCCACTCCAGTACTCTTGCCTGGAAAATCCCATGGACGGAGGAGCCTGGTGGGCTGCAGTCCATGGGGTCGCTAAGAGTCGGACTGAGCGACTTCACTTTCACTCTTCACTTTCATGCATTGGAGAAGGAAATGGCGGCCCCCTCCAGTGTTCTTGCCTGGAGAATCCCAGGGACGGGGGTGTCTGGTGGGCTGCCGTCTATGGGGTCGCACAGAGTCGGACACGGCTGAAGCGACTTGGTAGCAGCAGCTCACATACACAAATTTTTGTATAGGAGCTATAACTCTAAATCATTAGAGATTTTACTCCGAAACAATAAATTGGGTTGCAGGATTACTGCAAAAACATGAATAAGTTTTTGTAAAGTTTTGATTGCTTCAGTGGCGTCAGATTCTTTGCGACTGTGTGGACCACAGCCCGCCAGGCTCCTCTGTCCATGGGATTCTCCAGGCCAGAACACTGGAGTGGGCTGCCTTTCCCTTCTCCAGGGGATCTTCCCAATCCAGGGACAGAACCCATAGCTCCCACATTGCAGGCGAATTCTTTACTAGCTGAGTCACAAGGAAGCCCAATAACAAGCAGCTGCCTAATCCAGCACCCTATCTGTCAAAAGTACTAAAAATAATACGGGTAGCAAAACTCCATGACAGTGCATGACAGTCATCAAATCTACAATATAAGCTTGCCCTTAATCATCATTCTGTATTGGCATATTCTCTAAGAAAAAATCCCATTCTAATACATTTCTCACAATGTTATGTTTCTGTGGTTTACTTTTGTTGACTGCCCTGAAACCTTACTCTCAGTGAGCTGGCCAGTTGATGCTATACAACTTATATCGTAAATACCTTAGACTCCATTCAAGGAGACTTTTTATAAGTTAACAACACAGACTCCAAAGATATCCTTGTAATGCATATGCTGTATATTTTAAGGAAATGAAGGAAGTTCAATAAAATATTGATCCAGAATGAGTCCATTTTCCCCTAATAATTTTTCTACATCTTTAAATAAAAGTAACCTGTTCAAAAAAAGTAAAAAACTTCCTCTTGAAGTCTTAAAAGCCTATATACAGCAATAATGATCATCAAAGATCATTTGAGGCCAATGGAGAGATCAAATCATCAAATCCTCAATTTCTGAAGTCACAAATTATTAAATTGTGAATTGAAGGGTTTTCTTATTAGCCTTTGAAATCAGTACAAACAGTGTGATTCCAACAAGAAGATGTACACTATTGTTTGAGCCTCAAAATAAATGCCTAGTTAATTTGTAAACATAATAGTCTAATAAAGTGTGTGTGTGTCTGTTAGTTGCTCAGTCGTGTCTGACTCTTTGCAACCCCACAGACTATAACCTTACAGGCTCCTCTGTGCATGGGA